GGGGGGGAACATACGCAATACGTAGCATAATAGGAGCGCAATTCTTCTCTGCAATGAGACCTCTGAGCTTCTTCTTGCATTTCTCAATAGCCTTCTGGTACTCCTCACTCACATTTGGATACGACTTCACCATTTTTCAATCTCTCTGCAATTGATTTTCACAAAATTACGCAACTCAAACAACCATCTTGTAAAAAAAAATAAACACGAGCATTCATGTTCATGCAAAAGAGTTCAAATCTAATCAAAGAAAGCACAAATTGAAGGCGAATTCTGATACCAGAAACTCTATAATCCTAGGAGGAGAGTCTGACAAGCAACGGCAGTAAACTGAAAATGAAAGGGAGTCTGAGGGTTTATATGGGGAAATGGACGGCCAGATTGCCGTACATGGCGGACTGTATAGTTAGAAATTTTATGGGTGGTGAGGGAAAATGGGAAAATGAGATTATAGCCGGTAATAATGGACCATTTGTTACGATAGCAAAGTCATATTTTGACTTTTTCTATAGTGAATTACGGAATCAAATTTCTGCTTCTTAGTTTTTGAAAGTAAAAAATGATATCATCTCATCGATGGGTGAATTCATTGTTTGATAATTTTTTAGTCACAAAATCAAGTCAAAAGAAAATAACTAAAGCAATAGACGGAGGCTGCAACAAAGTAGAAATGTCACAATAAATATCCTTAAAACAGATTTTGTGCATAGATCGGTGTTAATAGAAATAGACCATCCATCTCCAAAATTACAACAGTGTTTCCAAAAATTAATACAAAATAGTATTAACCTTGATCGGCGAATCGAAGTTTGTGTTGGAAAGTTACTTAACATGTACAGCGAAAAATAAATTATTTTTCAATTCTCACCAAGGATCTGCTTTGTGCTTAAAAAGATCTCGAACACGAACAATCACGAACTGCAATCCACAAATGTCTAATTATCTAGCCTCTAATAAAAATCCACACTGGGAACAAGAACGTGAACTATGGTTTTTTTCTCTTTTCTTGTGCTATTAAGAGTAATAATAATTATGTATGTATTTTCAATTCCTAACACTCTATTAACAGAAGTCCAAGTGGGCTCATCACATCTCTTAAACTTAATCCGGTCGAATATTTAATTAATCCAATTAATTAAATTTAGTCCACGAATCCAATTAATTAATTCGGGCTCATTAACAAGTAGCCCAATTAATTAATTGGTGAAACTCATTCTTCTGGTTCTCTTTTTGTGTGTGACCTATTAGGTTCCCGATCATGATGTCTAACAATGTGAATTATTATTTTGATCTAATCAAAATTCATAAATTAAAATGCACCTTTTAATTTATCATCAATTCACATTCGCCGTCTCAAATTGACATCTAGCAATGTGACGGGAAATGTCACGTGATCCAATCAATTACGAGATATGAATGTGTGTCAATCTCAATTATCGATCATATCTTTCATCCCACTATTAAGTCAATATAAGTCGAAAACTCTTTTTCGACTTATAACTTCATCTTGGTCAAGGATTTCATTATCAACTCAATTGAATGAATTGTGGATCATAATATCTTATTATCTAAGAGTGACGAATCATCTATTGATCATTCACAATTTTCATATGATTCTTGACATATCGAACGATATCGTATTAGGGACCATTAGCGGAGCAATATCCCACATCACCAAAGTATGTCTGTCCTCATATAAGGCACTATGATGACCTCTAATCAAATGATCAATTCCACTACCGAACGTCAGAGATTAATCACTGACACTCATGTAGTTATCCATATGGAATCTCCCTAGCGAGTCTCCATTGTTTTGTTCTATAACAAAACATTCGCGTGTTCATTTAAGTGTCACCATACTTTAACTTGTGAGATCAGCTACTTATTTTTCAAGTAAAAAAGACACACATGATGGTCTATCCGTAATAATGATATCTATATCTCGTTACTACTTCCGTCCCAGATAATTTCAGATTCAGTCATATTATAATTTGTATCTCACAATCACAACTCCTTGTGATTAACAAATTGCAAAGACTTAAATCTACGGACTCTATTATTTAATATAATTTCAATAGAAAAGTAATTTAAATAAATAATAAATCTTGCCAAAATTAAATACATTAAACATATTAAAAGTGTTTACAACCTAAATCGATTGGGTCTAGGGCATAACAATTACAAACTCTCACTTGCACTAGATTTTATCACTTATGTATCTAATACCATAAGAGTCTATATGACCATCATGCTTATACTACGACAACGACTTTATCAATGGATCTGCAATATTATCATTTGTGGGAATTCGCTCTTTCTTTACGTCATTTCTTTGTACAATCTCTCTAAT